ACTAGGCTTTCAGAGTATATTAGCTTATATAGGCTTTATAATGCCTCTTTTATAGGCTTCCCTAGAGGCTTTATAAAGGCTTATATTATATGTATATGGAGGGCTGAAGGTCTGGAGTATTTAGGTATAAGCATTTAGGTATGCTGGGCTTTATATTAGCTTTATTATAGGCTTCCTTAGAGGTCTTAAAAAGGCTTATATTATAGGTATGTAGAGGGCCAAAGGTCCAGAGCATCTATAGGTATTTTTCCCCTTTCGAGCCTAGACGAGCGGAGCGAGTCGTTGAAGGCTTATATCATGGTCATTTTAATGACCCATGGTAAGTACAAATGCACATGGGATTTTTAATCCAAGATGCCCCTTTTCTGCAGAAGTTACTGGTTGGTATTTTGCTGCATTCTGTGGATTCACATATATCTCACTTAAGCCCTTTCACAATGTCTGCACCTTTCCAGTCACCAACTCTAATGCCCCCCTATTTTTCTGGTGGATCATTGAGAGGTTTCCATTCTTCTCGGCTTTCAGATCACATTATTTACACTATTCTTTGATTATGACTTTTATGCAAATATTACTGCTGCAATTTGCGCTGTACTATTTATTTGCCTGGCTTTTTTCACTTGCAAAAATTGTGTGCCCCCTATAAGCCCATCAGCCCTGTGGTAATGCATCTCTTCTGCAGTTGACGAGGCAAGCAGCAAAGTTTTGACGGAATACCCTCAAAGCTTTCTTTTCTTTCCTTTTCTTTCCTTTTTTTCCCCTTTTTAATATAAAATGTACTGGTTGCTTGCGTACAAATACCATTCAATGATAACTTCTGCTGTGACATGTGGACACATGATGATCCTCTTACTTGCCCCTGATGAGCTTCTAAGATCCTTCATTTCTAATGTGCATCCTTTTATTGTCTCTCTTATTTCCATTTTGTCCTTCCTGCATCATTTTCATCCCCTATTTCTTTGGATATATCTTCTTTTGCTATTGTTGAAAGTGAACCAGGGCTATGACAATTTGCAACAGAACGCAATATAGGTACCCATCTAGACAAGATACATGCATCTCTTGTGACTTAATGGGCTCTTTGTTTGCTCATTGCTTTATCCATTTGCAATATTTCTCAATGAGCATAGCAGACCATGTACTCATGGCAATTGGATCCCTAGTGATTCAAAGAGCAACTTGTCTACCTGCCAATACTGCTTGGTATCTATAGACTGCTATATCTGTCTCTTTTCTTTCCATCATGCTCTCAGGGCTAATATAAATTTTCCTTGATTTTATCATCCACGACTGCAGATTTGATCGGTGCCTACTTATTCTCGGCGGCCACAGCAGCGTGACCATGTCAGCCCATTAGACTTCTGGTCTTGTCTTCTCTGGTTTCCCTACACCTGTTGATCCTCCTCTATTTCTGATTTTGTTCACAAAGCATAGCTATCTCTTTTTCCTTGTTTCACTAATTCTCCACGCGGATATCATACATTCCCCTAACTGTGATCCTCTGTCTGTTGCATATATCTATCTGGGCTTCTCCCGACCTGATACTTTGAACTCCAAGACCCGGACTATTCTGACGGAACCCTTCTGTTTGGGTCGCTGTACGACTTCTCCAGCGATTTTCTGGCAGGATGAGAGCCTACGATCCATCCGCTTTGGCAAACAGCCCCCGTTCTTCTGACGGAGCTGCTACTGGCAATGGCTCTCCGGACACGAAGCTGACTGCGTTCTCTCCCGAGGACGTGCGACCCAAGGCTCGTGTAGATTCTGCCATCTGCATCCCGCAGGATTCTGATGGAGTCAGTAGCTTTTCTCCTGGGTAAGTACAAAGAGCCACATTCGCTTCGGCGACGAGAGCCAATTTAACTTGACTCCCTAGCCCCGGAGCCGACCCTTTTGTCGTTCCTGCCAGCCAACCTCGTCTTGCTCACCTGTGTCCTACGGCATTGAGTTTCCGGCCTGTTGGAGTGACTGGTACTTTGACGGATACAGGTCTCAAACGTCCTATACCCTCTGTAGGCTATGGGATGAGCTATTTAGCTGCTGGGTCCGAGCCAGACTCAAGAGCAGTTGGCAATAGTGACAGCGTGTATTCCGCGAAAACCTTCTCTGGTTTTGGGCCTATTGGCAAGTCTGCTCTAAACAAGGACGGTTCTCATCCCTTTGAAGTCAACTTTGAGCAACTCGATTACGAACATCGCAGCCGTGCCTTCGTGATCGAGGAAGTTCCAAGGAATCTATCTCATCTGACCTTGGCAGGTTTTTTTAGCGTGAGTTTTGTCATCATTTCATTTCCTATTCTTCCTTCTTTACTCCATTTGGTGATGCTGATATGTCTAGCGTCGTGAGTTTGGAACTATCAAAGGTCCCCTTCTTTCAGAACTTAGTTCGAAGGGTAAGATCTACGTCGCATTTACCGACAGCCGTGAGGCAAAGAATGCGATAGAAAAGGTCCAGGTTCTACACCCGGATTGGCGTATCACTCCCCTTACTGCTCGGGAATACGCGCAGCAGTCTACAACCTCCGATGTCGACCGCGTCTCCGATTTCGAAGGCCAAATCTGTGTTTCTGTGTATTACGATAGCCGAGACCCTAGCATTGATCAGCGGGCAATTATATCATGTGTGAGAGGATTAACAGAAAGTTTCGGTGACGTGAAGACATTCAAGGCTCTTCCTGTGGAGCAAAACAATGTCAGTGAATTTGAAGTCGAGTTTTTTGACACGCGTGATGCCGAAAACGCCGTGGCCACACTCAACGGAGCCACTGTCGAGGTCAGTCAAAAAAAGACTTTGTCTGCTTATCTTTACTTAAGTTGACTTAATCCAAAGGATTGTATTCTTGAGATCAAACTACATAAACCGGATGTGGAAGACCCATCCAGTGACTTTTTCCACGAACGTTGTTCATCCAAAGATGTCTCTCCTCGTAGAGACTCCCGTCGGGTTGTTACGTCTGGATCTTCTGGACGAGACAGTCCCCATTTGGAATTGAGTCCAACTGGCCGTTCCACCATACCTCGAGGTGAGCGTGCAGGACTTATGGACTGGATGCTCAGTTCCACATCGCGACCAGTGCTTCCACCTCACCAAGAGTACAATCGCTTCACTGATACACGTTTCAAATCTCAGAATTTTGTCGACGTGGAACGTATTCGCCGCGGTCTTGACGTCCGCACAACAGTTCGTGCCATCCACATAAACCACGTCAGAGATCGCTCACTGACTACGCTGATTAGATCATGCTTCGTAACATCCCAAATAAAATCGATCAGGTAAGTTCATTATGAGGAATATCATGTCCGGGTGTACTGAAAAATGCAGTCCATGTTGAAAGAGATTGTGGACGAGACGAGCTTTGGAAAATACGATTTTATGTATCTCCGGATTGGTAAGAATAGTCACTATTATCTTTGATATGAAAAGATCTCTGGGCTCCTGACATCTCCCTCGCAGATTTTGCCAATAACTGCAAGTTCGTATTGCCAATCCTACCGATAGTAGTTGGATTTCTATTTACTCAAAGTTCGATTTAGTGTCGGTTATGCGTTCATCAACTTTGAAGATGTAAGTGTCGTTTCTGATAGGCATCAGGCAATTGCTAACTTACATGTAGCCTATCGATATAATCGATGTGAGTTTACGCAACTATGCATCTAAGAATGGAGCACTGAATGAGCTTAGTTTGTCAAAGCCCGAGCTGGCCGCACTTGGTAGGATGCACCGCCTCCAACTTGCACATTTAGGTAGACTGACAGTGTTGGACAGGAATTGTTTTAATAGCGACAAAGTTGCAGAAATATCATATGCGAGTCAGTAGTAATCCTTGTGATATCCAATGAGTCGGCTCTAATTTGTCAACGTAGCTATCCAAGGAAAAGATTGCCTCGTGCAGAAATTCCGGAACAGCTCTGTGATGCTTGAAGATCCGTCCTTCCGGCCTAAGGTGATGAGATGTTTGTTGAAACTGTTATGGATGCAGGCCACTAATGTCTGATAGATATTCCACACTGGCACCGGTCCTTTGGCCGGGACTGAAGATCGCTTCCCAGGTCCAGATAATCTTTCTAAGATGCGGCGAAGCGTGGAAAATGCTGAGCATGTTGGTATGTATCTACAAAAAAACATCGAAGGAACATCAAGACTCAAAATTTGTTAGGTCTCTTTGCCCCACGTGTGAATCGTGACGAACAGCGACGTCGCCGCTCGTCGTTGGGTCGTGGAAGGATACCTCCGGACCGCCTTCTTTGCGTTAGAGAGAGTTCCTACCGGCGTCCAAGTGTGCTGGGTGCCGGTTCGGCACCAGACTTTAGACCGCCATGGTATGATACGCAGCGTTCTCCACGTGGCCCGAGAACTTCTTGAGATTTCGAGTTTGAAGTCCCGCTTAGAGCTGTACGATTTGCTCGGAGAGGTTAATCAGGCTGGGTGACATCTCAAATGCTACATCTCCTTATATTAGAGGGCGGGACCTATTTAACAATGTTCTAAAACCCTTCTACGCCTTCATTGGCTTCGGTATTGTGTTTTGCTTGGAGTCCAATGGCAGAGGACCCTCAGTACATTCCCTGTCAGTCCAGTATGGTCCTCTGGCCTTCCAATGGCAGGTGCATTTGCAGGAATCTTTCATATGAGACAACACATGTAGTAATCTCATGTCAACCGTTTGACTGTCTTTTCCATTAGTTTCTGGTTGATGAGCTGTTTGCACAATGTATGTACTGTACATACAGTACATATACATACTGCACGTTACTTGTGGAAATCGAGACTGAAAGAAATAAATTGACTTTAATTTCTTATGTTTCGAACGGACCAGTAATAGATATTAAAGTAGAATAGATACGTAACTAGACAATTTAGCAATCTACTCTGTATGAGTGTAATTAGACAAGCCGTCATACATAGTATAGTTCGTGCGGGATGTGGCAATAACGTAATCAATCACCGAGCGAAACAGATCACCGAGCGAAACACCCACCAACGCCATTATTATTAGATATCTAATTATCTCACCACACCACCCCTAAATTGAAGCTATTTACATGTAAAATAATTGCCTATTTACTAGGGCAGCTGACCCTAGTATGACCTTGAATATTGCAGTTGCTGCACCGCGGTGGTGCACGTCTTCTAGGCTGCATATCAGCTTGGTCAGCTACCTCTGCCTGCAATTCTGCAGCTTGCTGAGCAAGCTGCTGGCCTTCTTCAGCAGTTAAAATCCCCCCGGTAGCCAAT